AGAAAAGCGGGCAACTATATTTTATAGTCGCTAAAAAGCACAATATAAAAAACAAATAACTTAATCATAACTATTTAGAAAAACAATCAGGTTCCCAAAATAAAATATCATAGCGGCTACCTATCTAAGTTTTAAATCGATAACCATCAAAACCCAATATGAAGAAAAACAAAATCCCTCTCTGTAGCACACTAACAAGAATACCGGTACTAAATATTTGCACAAGTTTTTACTTGTTGTATTTTCAGGAGATGTTAGATGGTAGTCATCACTGGTTACCTACCCTCGAAAGCAAAAGGATTTATCGTCATCCTGTACTGCATCTTGTACGAATATATGTATGTAGTTTTTGCCAGATATCCAAAAATGCCCCCAGAAACCCTTATGTATACCAATTCCATCAATAGCCTCCTCCTCCATACCCACCACCCTGTCCACCCTGTCCCTGCCACCTCTGCTGCCATCCCTGACTCTGCCCCTGTGCCCACTGTCCCTGTCCCCCTCCCTGACTATATTCCCTCTCCCCCCAAACCCCATTATTATACCCCCCCTGCCCTGCATTATGCACCTGATCAGTCTGTCCCTCTGGCAAAGTAGAATAAGCACTACTAGCAACAGTAGGCGTATACCTACTTGCCGACGAAACAATCGTATTAGCCGCCCCATAAGGAGCCGGACTCGTCGTCATCGAAGGAGGAGGTGGACTCCCCAGGGGCGCATGATATCCCGCTTTATAAGTCATTCCTTGTTGAGTATTATACGAATTAGGATCAACGTTTCCTCCTCCCAGACCTGGTGCATCAGCGAATGGATTATTAACCATTTGAGCAGATGGGACAGGTTGTTGTTGTTTTCTCTTATTTTTTCTTGCCCTGACGACAAGACAGGCAATCATGGCAATGAGTAAAATACCTAGAATGCCTGCGCCGATGCCTATGCCTATTATTGCGCCTTGGGAGAGACCGGAGGAAGAAGGAGTGGGGGTTGGCTCGGGATCGACTTGGTAGGACATGGCTAGGGCGATGTTGACTAGTGCGGAGGTTGCGACGTTTGTGCTTGGGGGAACACCGGGTGCACCGACTGTTATTACTGGGGGAGAGGCTTTGGCTACTAGCGAGGAGAAACAGGGAGTTTGAGCGGCCATTTCTCGGGTGAATTTGAAGTAACCGCTGGTTTGTTATTAGTATGGATAGTGGGATGGATGGAAGGTTGGGAATACTTACTTGGGACAACATTGACCAGATACGGAATAGAAATCATTTGGACATCTTGGTAGAGTTTGTAACTGACCGTCTGCCGGTACAGGAAACTGTCCTGCTGCCGCAGCAACCCGTTGTAAATCTCTTGCGTTTGGCCCAGCTGTGGTTGGTGCTGGAGTTGAACCGGCAACAGGTGTGCCAGAAACTAACCAGGGACAGCATTCTGGTCTGTTGGCGTTACATCCTACAATTGGTGCATAAAACATTACATCCCCTGCGTTGATTACCGAGAATGTGGTGGAGCTACAGTCGCCGGCGAGAAGATTGCCTCCGCTTGATGGTTGGTATGTGACGGGGACAACCTCGGGAGGAAGAATGGTGATGGGTACGGGTGGGGTGGTTATGGCGACTGGTCTGTGGGAATTGGTCAGTAAAATTACTTTTGAGACGATCAGAGCTGGCGGTATTTACTCAGTAGAAAGTTCAACGGTACTGGGTTGAGGAAGTATGGCCATGACACTGCTAGGTGGTGCAGAACAAGACCCCAATAACCACGTCCTCTGAAAGTCATTCCAATCACCAACCACACCTGTGCAGCTCGAAGACCCAATGGCAGAAGAAACACAACTGAGATATTGAGGTCCATTGTTGCATCTGCAATAGGAGTCTCCGGATCTCGAGAGACAGTTGCCGTAGTCGCCGTTAAAACTGCAAGTTTGGGTCGCGTCAAAGTTTGTGCATCTGTCGGGAAGGACCGTTGAAACCGTGGTTTGGGTGGCGGTAACGGTGGTTGCATTTGCATATTGCCGGGCCATGATCCGGAAAGCTGGGATTGATGCCGGCGTCGGCAAAGGCAGAACGGCCGCCGAAAAGAGAGTCCTCGGTATTGCCTTTTTTTTTTTTTTTTACATTTAAAACCCCAACTCCCAACTCAGAGGTAAAATGGACGATGATCGGAAGATGATGGGGAATGACCTCTTTTTGTTGGAGAGAACCATTTGACGCCACCCGGAGGGAACCAGACGGACGCCCAAAGGCCCTAACCCGCTTTCGGTCCCCTTGTTGTGTAGTGTTTCGGTATAAGAGCGCATGGTTTGCTTGTCAAGTCGCTATTTGGCAGCGGCTGAAAGACGCTTGCAGAGGCGGAGCTCTGGGGTTGGTTGCTTTGTTCGACACCAATTTGGTGGGTGGTTGGTCGGTATTCGGCCGATGCACATGCCCACGTCGTCGGGTTCCTTTCTGAATTGGTAAAAAGAGTTATTCTTGCGATATCTGACTGTCTCTGTGGAAGCCTGGATAATATGGAGTTTTGGATGGAGGAGGAAATTTGGAACTATACCGAATTGGTTCCTCGTGGATAAAAATCCATAACTAAAAGCTTAAAGATGCGGTGATCTAGGGCTTGTTGCTCCGCTTGTTAACGGCAGTTGCGGTCAAGGGGTGACGGTCTGGACCCGTGGCAGTGGTTGCCAAGAGCGGGAAGCATCGAGCCGGTGAAAGACAACCTAGCACTCCCTTCTGTTAAGCATTCCCAAGAACTTTGGCAGGGACACTAACAGCCCAGCAGGCAAGTCGGGTCGATCAAGTGGAAGCAGCCGCTCTTTCTCTTGCTAAACTTTTAGGCGTCACCAGCATTCCGACCCCAATTTGAACTTGAGGCCAAATAAGGAAACCATAATTGCACTGTTTCCTCTCTCAAACTTCTCCCTTGGCAGCACTTGGTTTCCGGGCGAATTCAACCTTGAAGTCAGCCTCACATTAACAGAAGTTTCTGGGCCAATTACATAAAATCTCGGCAGAACTTACCTGACGAATAACTAGACGCCAGCATAGCAAGAATGGTTGAGCAGGAGGGAGTCTGATTTGAGTGGCTGAGCAGTCGGGCACTGAGGGGGAAAAAACTATCCATGCCTAACAGGATTTCTCTTTTTCATGAAATATCTTCCTGGGTATATCCACCTCGGATGTTTTCCTGTCACAGATTTCTTGCGACATTATTTTTCTTATCTTTCATTGTGATCAGTATGCCTACCAAGGCCCCTTGTCTCCTGCAAATGTAGCATTGTCGCCATTCACGGTTTGGGTGGCGATCTGATTCAGAGCTGGACCATCGAGATACCAAGTACATGTGGATTCGAGACTGCCTCCCCGATATTTTTCCCACCGCACGCATTTTCACCTACGGATATGACATTGGCTCTCTCGTGTTTAACGATAAAGTGTTCAGCCCCAATGGTATCAGCAAAGATCTACTCGTACGCCTGAAAACAGAACGCAAAAAAAAGCCTATCTCGCGCCCAATCATCTTCATTTGTCACAGACTGGGTGGAATCATCTTCAAGCTGAGCGTGCTCAATGCCTATAATCATGGTGCGAAAGATAATCAATGGTTCCTCGATGCTCCAAAATGTGCTGTTTTCATGGGGACTCCTCACAGGGGCTCCAAGGTGGCCACATACGTTCAGGACCGCTCGTCCGCTCACTGACACGGTGGCTAACGGAGCTTTGACAACGCCCAGCACAGTAGCTTCCATCATTATTGTTTTGGCCTCGTAGGAGCAGTCGTAAGATGTACCGGTGCTTTGATCCCTGTGCTTGTAAAGATAGAGGGCACATTGATCATAGGCAATCTGTGTCGTCTTTGTGGTCGAACTGAAGGACGTGCGGCTGCCGATAACGGTTGTTAGACGGATGGGGATCGTCTTGCTGTAGCTATTGGTACAGGCCAGCACTTGGTCGCCCGCCAAATAGTGTCGTAGGCTGATGCAGAGTAACATGTTGTAAAGTATCCGCAGGTCAAGGGTCGGCCGCTCGCTGTCTTGCAGCATCCAATATATTTCATATTGATGACGGCGCACTGGGTTGGACCAGTTTTGGGACCGCCCGGGTGGTAACATCGGACTGACTGGTCTTGATATTGATCAAGAAAAATACATCTTTAGCTTGGAGAAAGAGGAATTGTGAACCAAAAGAGAGATGTTGCATTGCTTGCCAATATCTCCAGCAAACCATCCACAATAATCCGGTCCTTGAATCAACTCGGATCGCTTATGCAGGTTGGATGCTTCTTCACCACTGTTGGTAGCTGAAGCGCTTGAGGCATTGGTAATTGCTGGGTCTGGGAGTAGGTCCATGTTGCATCCGTCGGCAACCTACATGTACGCACGATGCCTATCGACAAATCCCACATATAAAAGTGTGTTTTGGATAAATTGAGACAAAATGATGAAGAAAATAAAAATTAAAGAAGAGAAAGAAACAAAGAGAAACAAAAAGTAGAAAACCTCGAGGCTGTTTACACCCTTGAGCACTTAGTAGCCGGTCGAGAGCCGCCGCCACCACTGACCCCTTTAGTGATTGGTGGACTGATGCCCATCATCAGACAACCAAATACAAGCGCGTCTGCATGTCTCAGTTATTTGTGGGGAACAGCCGCCGACAATGAAGAAAAAAAGGGATGAGACATGTCAACAAGAGCTTTATTTCGAATTCTAAAAATAAATGATCCGGTAACGGAAGGAGGATTGCGTGGAGTTGCGGTTCTAGTCAAGCCCTTTTCTCTTTTTTTTTTTTTTTTTGTCTTTTGTTTTTCTCCCTGCCCAGTTGCAAAATAAAATTTTCTGCATTATGACATTATGTAACCAAAACAACAAATGAACAATGACCGGACCAGCAAGTCAGTGACCTTGTACTAACTCCGAATGCAAAAGAACAGGAAGAATAAAGAGACTTATAATTAAGAAAAGAAAAAAAGAAAAAAAGAAAAAAGAAGAAAAGAAAAAAGAAGAAAAGAAAAAGGACGGGGCCGCCAGGGAATCGAACCCTGGACCTCACGCAAGCATTTAGAAGGAATCTTCATGAAGCCTTTAAACTCGGGTCTAAGTTGCCCTAAGCGAGAATCATACCACTAGACCAGCAGCCCTGTTGTGTGTTTTGTTTCGTAGGCAGTGGATGGTGGAAGTTGAGTCACCGACATGCATTGAAATAGCCTCTTGAGTGATCCTTAATAGATTTTCCTAACAATAAAACAACTCCCATAAATACTCAACTTTCTCACAATCATTACCTTAATCTCTCTTTTTATCCTCAAAATTTATCCCATCCCTCCTTCAAACCGCCCCAAACATCTCCTTTAAATCCCCCACCAACTCCTCCGGCTTCTCCCAAGCACCAAAATGCCCCCCACTCTCATGCCTCTTTTCAAAAACCATCTTTCCCAAAGCCCGCACATAACTACTCGGACTAACAAGCACATCCCTCGGAAAAACTGAAATCCCAAATTTGACTCCATCAATCCAACTCCAAACCCTCTTATCGCTCGCACAATTCTTTACTTCGTAGTAAATCCTCCCGCTAGCTGCCGGTCCTGCTTTTGAGAATACATAGATACTCACCCAAGTCAATATCTCATCGTCCGTCCAGGGATATTCATCTGTCCAATCGTGCAATTTTTCATAAATCCATGCAAGTAATCCAACTGGACTGGATTCAATAGCCAAACCAATTGTCGAAGGCTTAGTCGATTGAAGTGTATAATATCCAGCTCCTTTTTGTTCAAACCATCTAGTTCTTTCCAATCCCTTTTTTTCTTCTTCCGTGAGAAACAGAGAAAAAGATTTGAGATAAAGAATAGGATTCTTGAGGAATTTAGGCGCAAAACACCAACTGAGATTCAAGTGAGAAGCAATGATATGATCAGGATAGAGGATTCCTAGAGTACGAGTGATTCCGAATCCCCAATCGCCTCCTTGGGTTGCGTATGTTGTATAGCCGAGTTTAAGCATGAGTTTGTGACAGGTTTCGGCGTATTGAGTGAATGCAAATCCTGGTTTGATTATGCCGGAGGAGAAGCCAAAGTTTGGGAGGGAGGGGGCTATGACGTCGAAGGAGGGAGAGGATGAGGAGGAGGAGGGGGAGGTGAGTAGGGGAAGGATTTTGAGGACTTCGATGAAACTGCCTGGCCCTGAAAATAAAATAAAAGAGGTGTTAGTTGAATAGAAGAGGGGACTGTATTGAGGGTTGACTTACATCCGTGACAGAAGAGGAGGGGAATAGAGTTTTTATTGGTACTTTTTTGATGGACAAAGTGAATGTCGAGGGGACCGAATCCGTCGATTTCAATGGATGTAAGGAATTGAGGAAGTTTGCTGTTGAGGAGCTTCTCTTGTTCACGCCAGTCAAAATTGTTTTGCCAGTGATTGAGGAGTCTTTTTAGGTCAGAGACGGGCACGCCATATTCCCAGTCGTTGGATAAGGGGGATTCATCTGGAAATTCGGCCGATTGGAGTTTGGTTTTGAGTTGGGATAGCTTTTCCTCGGGGATGTTGATTTTGAAGGGCTTGATGGTAGAATCCATGGTAAAAGTCAGCTATGGGTGTGTGTGACTCGTGTAAGTTGAGATTTGGGTGACGGTCGAGGATCAATTTGCGAGTTGTGGTTAATATGGAGGCTGGAAAGTGAGGGGTAACGTTGACGAAATTCTGCAGTTAGTAATCACACGCAGTTGTACGAACAAAGATCTGCATGCCGACCAATTTATCGAATGCAGCTGAGCTGATCGCATGTGGTGGTCGACTTACAGGGGGAAAGAAACATTCATGGGTTAGGGTTAATCACAGTGCACACTGTGTGGAGACCTCATCGGGTTGATTGGATGGGGAAATAAAATTCGAGAGTTTTTCGAAGAAACGTCAACTTTTAAGATTTTTCATTCAAAATTTGCAAAAACATCAGACTGCAAAAAAATGGTCAAAAAGGGAAAAGTCGCCGCTCTGGTAAAGGCAGCAAAAAAGGCCAAAAACAAAAAACCCAGTCCATCAATTCTCAAACTCGCCGATCTAGCTTCGACAACGGCATCAGAAACAAGATCGGCAGCACAGTTAAAATTGGTCCAAGAGCAACTCAAAGAGGCCAAAAAGGAAATCAAGCAACAAAGGACCCTTCTTGATACTCTCGCCCAGTCCGCATCCAAGGACCCGGAAACCGTACATCTTCGCCACCTGCTTGCAAATGCCAACAAACAATTCGCGGCTTTGCGTAACGATTTGAGGATTCAAGAGATGACGGTGAGTGCCTATCTTGAAACCTCTCCGCTGAACAGTCCACGAAAATTTGGAAGGAAAAAACCGGGAGACATGATCTTTTGCCAGCAGTGTGGTCAAGGATTACAACCGGATAAGTACAAAACCCACAGACACACCAGTTGTCCGGTGCATCGATGGAGATTGTTGCAGGAGGAGAATGATGTGGAGGAGGATGTGGAACCGAAGCAAGAAGAGGATATGGAGGAGATTTCATCCGAGGCCGTTGAAATCGAAACAGTGACGGAAGAACAAACATCACCCACCGAGGACTCAGAACCGCCCGCTCCCCCCAAGAGAGAATTATCACCGGAAGAAGAACTGGCAGAAAGGACATGCAGCATCTGCACCAAAGTGTTTGAGACGACAAACAAACGGGTGCATCAAAACAACCAATACAAGTGCAGACCCGGCAAATTATGCCTACCGGGTAGAGATGCCCTTGCCTTGACCAAGGCACTTGCCAAAGAAGAGAAGGCCGCAGCCAAGAAAGAAAAGGCCGCAGCCAAGAAAGAAAAAAACAAAAGCCCCGAGAAGGAGAAGGAGGAAGATGAGGTGTCTCGGAGGACATGTATTACCTGCTCCATAATATTCGACACACGGGCAAGAATGTTGCGGACTTCTGGAAGATACGGTTGCAGCAAAAGAAATGATCCTTGCCGAATGGGTAAAAAATTGTTGAAGCAAAACGAACCGCCTGTTGAAGAAAACAATGTTGAGGTGCCGTTATCACCAGAGGAAGAGTTGGCTCAGAGGACGTGCAAGGTCTGCAGAGATGTTTTTGAGACTCCAAAGAAGCTGGCGGCTATGGTTACGAAGTATCGTTGCGGTTCGGATATGCCGATCAGCAAGTTGTGTCCTAGTCTTGTGGCGGCCAAGGCTGCGAGTGCGGCGGTACCGGAGGGGTTCACGGTGAGGGAGGATCTTGATGGGATGATACGTGAGCTGGAGACTGCTATAGCTTCTGCGGAGGGTGTCGAGGAGGATGAAAACAAGGTGAAAATTGAGGATTTGTTGGAGCAGATTGATGAGACTTTGCTGGCTTTGGGGGGTAAATCAAGCAAAGGTGAAGGAGACGGAGGACGGTGAGAAAGAAGCGGTTGAAACTAACGAGGAGAACGAAGATGTCGATGAGGTTTTGAGTGAGTTTAGGCAGAGCTTTCGGGTGGAGAATGATGAGGATTCCGCTGTGGAGGAGGAGGAGGAAGAGGAAGGACCTGAAGCTGACGGCCTGAGGAAGTCGATATCTGAGGTTATGAAGGAATAATTTAGCTGTTGAGTAACATGTATTATAGTAAAATAGGAATAATCCCCATAAACCTCTCATGGCTGCACCTTTACAACTGACTTTAGAACATTTCTCCGTCGACTTTTAAATTAAAATGATCAAAAGAACATGATCTGCCAAGCGCTTATTATCTTTCAATGCAGCCATACATTTCTCACCACTGTTCACTGTGCCACAAATCAAACCCCTCTTATCATACAAGGACTCGGAGACCCTGGACCTGCCTATAACAAACCTTTCCTTGTATTAATTGATAAAATCCCGTATCAAACCCCAACGCCGATAAATGACACCTGAAATTACATGTACTACCACACCATCCCAAAGATAGAGGAAGGCTGGCACGTTGGCTGGGTCTCATTGGACAGCCGTTGAATGAATCGGCGAAGTATTGATCCGTGATGACTGCGGCTGAAATGCTGTTTTCTCCTCATCTCACAATTCACCTCATTGTCTTGGCCATATAAACACATTCTTATTTCTTATATCAAATGAAAAAAAAAAATGAAAAACAGTCCCAATGATCCTCAAATTTTTCTCTGGAGCCTGAACAACAACCACACGCACAACGAATCTACAACTCACGCAACTCCCAAAATGAATCCCATCCTAAAAAGCCTCTGGGCAACATCCTGGTTCATCTACCAAACCTTTTACATAATCTACGCAATCCTCATCGCCCTCCTCGCTCTCCTCCTCATGCTCTTCTTCATAATCCTAACCGCCCCTTACACACTCTTTTATTTCTCGTCAAACTGGTCAATCCGATCCAAACATCACCCAGCCGTAGAGGTCTATCTCAATCACTTTGAACGGCTCCATCCAAACCTCATAGCCTGGATAGCAGCCGGCCATGAATCCGTAGTCGATCAAAATCAACGACCGGGAGGAGTTGGGGGATGGCCGCATAAGACTAATCGGTTTTGCATACCGCTTTGCGTTGTAACCATCACGCATGAATCCTGGTCTTTTAAGCAATCTGCTGGGTTATTAGGTAAATTAGAGGCGGCGGGTTGGCCAAGGAGGGTTGTTTGGAGGTTTTTAAAGGATGAGGTTGAAAAGGCAGGGTTGGTTACACCAGAGGAACAAGAGGCATTTGATAAAGTGATGGGGATTATGAATTCGAATCAGATTATTTCTACGCAGGTGTTGGGGAGGGTTGTTTGTTGGGCTTTGTTTCATAAAAGATCCGAGGAGGATGATCCAGGGTCCGTTCGTCATCAGATGCAACAACAGCTTGCGGGAAAATATGTTAGTATGACCGGAGTGCCGATTATTCCCGTAACAAAAGATTCTATATCGTGGATTTTGCAGGGAGGAGCGGTTTTGGTTCCAACAAAAGGAATGAAAGGCGCGATGGGACAACTTGCGCAGGCTTTACCGATATGGGTTAATATTACCAAGGAAAAGGATTTGGAAAAGGGGATTAAGAATTGTTGGCAAGTTATTGCTGAACCAAAAGTTTATCCTTGGACAGGAAAGTAAAAACTACCTACAGAGTCAATCTCAATCTAAAGCCCCTTTGTACTATACTCTGTCGCAACAATCTGATCA